TAATAATAAGAAGAAAGAATCCCTGGAAACCCCAGCTTAAGAGACATACAGAAAATTGTCTTATTAAGTACAGCACACACACTAAGGAGAACTTTGTCTATGTAACGCTAGCAACTTCATCGGAGATAAAAAAAAAAAAAAAAATTAACATGAAATGTGGCCATAACAACACACCACGACCTGCCTTAGGTCTTTCCGCAGACTTGGTAGGTAGTGTGTCCATAGCAGAAATCGAATGATGATGATGATAATAATAATAATAATAATAATGTTGTTTGAGTAAATAACATTATTATAATGTCAGGTTAGGTAGAACCAATAAATCATAACTTACGTCAATGACCGCTCGGGATAAAAAAACAGCTAATGAGAAACCTCACATTTAAATATAAGACGATCAAAGATTTTTTTTAGTCATTTGTTTGTAAAAAAAGCGTATCTCATATGCCGCCAACGTCATGTAGTCTCTGCTACGTTTTGGGTCATTCTCTCTATTCATGATTTCATTTTGAATACAAATACATAACATTGAAAAAGAAAGAAAGAAAGAAAGAAGAAGAAGAAGAAGAAGAAGAAGAAGAAGAAGAAGAAGAAGAAGAAGAAGAATGTCTATAGTTCGGATTTATTTACATTGGGTTATTTTTTATCCCAACATTTTTAAAATGAAAAGACTTGTTCCATTAGGCAGACGTGAATTCAGATGCTGAATGTCGAACTCGAAAGTAGAGTGAAGTGAATTGAAATGAATGCTTTCATTCGGAAGCGAATTGCATCCTTCCTTTGCATTTCCATCCTTTTCTGTTCTTTCTTTCGTTTATTTATTCAATCAGCATTGATCATGGGCGGGCAAACAGGGCCGATCCCGTTACGCGGGCGCCATCTAGTAGCCAATTATTGAATTTGAATAAATAGTGTCGAGTCACGCCGAGCGTAATGCTGGTGTCAGAGTTATTCGAGTGAGTACTGTGTGGACTATAATTTGTAGTTAAAAGCGAATGTCCGGTGATGACTTTGGAGATGAAGTCTATTCACTTTCTCTTTTCCTTTTTGTTTGTTATTCCTTTTCATTCGTGAAATGCTGTTTTGTTTAATAATGTGTCTGCAAGATAAATGTGTTTAGACGTTTATTCATTTTTCCCTTTCTCAGAAGAGAAAGGCAGTCAGAATTTTCAGGTTTTGAATTAATGGGAAAATGTAATTAGTAATTAATGTTGATTTCAGTAACCGTGTCTCTCAACTACATTCTTCTACACGCAAGCGAAATACGAATAAATGTGCATGTAAAAATCACGCACAGGCAGTCACGCCGTTTCCATACACACACACATACATACATACATACATACATATACCCGACATGATATCAAGATTTCCCAAGTGTACGCTCATTGGGGCCATACTTACTTGGTCAGTCTACCAAAAAGGTTCATGCGATTTGTGTTCATTTATTATGCGACGTTTTGGAACGAAGATTTGGAACGGCTTTGCGATCTTTACAAAGACTGGCATTTGTTTATTTATACTCGTTTAAATGCTGGACATATATTCATATTTGAGTCTGGTCGTTTGTTTATGAGTATATTTTTGCTTTTCCTTTATACTTGAGTCAATAGGTAAATGCTTGTCTTTTATTTATACTTGAGTCTATAAGTAAATATTGGTAATATATTTAAAATTGAACCTATAGATACATAAAGGTTATTCAACGAGAATTTACTATATATGTAAATATTGTACATTTATTTAACCTTAGGACTATAGATAAATGTTAGCCATTTAATTTTTCTAGAGTGTATATTTAAATATTGGCCATTTATTTGTACCTGAGACTATAGTTAAATATTGGACATTTATTTGTACCAGAGACTATAGTTGAATAATGGCCATTTATTTGTACCTGAGACTATAGTTAAATAATGGCCATTTATTTGTACCTGAGACTATAGGTAAATATTGGCCATTTATTTGTACCTGAGACTATAGTTAAATATTGGCCATTTATTTGTATCGGAGACTATAGTTAAATATTGACCATTTATTTGTACCTGAGACTATAGTTAAATATTGGCCATTTATTTGTACCTGAGACTATAGTTAAATACTGGCCATTTATTTGTACCTGAGACTATAGGTAAATATTGGCCATTTATTTGTACCTGAGACTATAGTTAAATAATGGCCATTTATTTGTACCTGAGACTATAGGTAAATATTGGCCATTTATTTTACCTGAGACTATAGTTAAATAATGGCCATTTATTTGTACCTGAGACTATAGTTAAATAATGGCCATTTATTTGTACCTGAGACTATAGGTAAATATTGGCCATTTATTTGTACCTGAGACTATAGTTAAATATTGGCCATTTATTTGTACCTGAGACTATAGTTAAATACTGGCCATTTATTTGTACCTGAGACTATAGTTAAATATTGGCCATTTATTTTTACCTGAGACGATAGGTAAATAGTGGCCATTTATTTATACTTGAGTCCATAAGGAAATATTGACTATTTATATTTGGGGCTGTAGGCGAATTCTGGATATATAATTATTCTTTGGTCTATAATTAAAACGGGGTCATTTATTAATACTTGGATATATAGATAAACATTGATAGTTTATAATTAGTCCTAGAGATGAACATCGGTTGTTTATATCTTAGTGCGTAAGCATCCAGCTGTTTGCTGACGCCTTTTCGTCGGGATGTTTTCGGTGAATTCTAGAATCCACCATAAGAAATAACAGGCTTTCCGTAAATATTCTTTAGGTTAAACGCTGGATCCTGAGTGGCGCACACGTTTCAAGACTAACTGGTACTCGATAAGAAGACGATAAGGCTTCAAGGCGACCACTCACCAATAAAACGCGGAAAAATACAGTCATCGATGAATCAGTCAGTTAAGTGTCATACGTGATACACGCTTAAGCGTTCGTGTCTCTTTCGATCTATGACTGACTAGGCAGAAGCCTTTCCCGCAGTAAGCTGTCATTTATTTCTGCGGTAGACTGGTTACCAATCAAGGCTACAGGACACATTCTGCCTTGCTATTCAATCCATAACTAGAGTGGGGGAGAGAAGAGAGAAGAGAGAGGTTCATATATTTTGCACACACTGCATACTCCAGGATAGAACGTGGTTTTTCCTCCTACCAAGGGGACGCAGATTTATAGTTTGCTGGAGAGCCTAGTTTTTATGTGGTTTTTCGAGTGCACAGGCCAGTAGCCGTAATGCACACTGTTTAAAATGAATAAAAAATGGTGCGTATATTTCACGTGTATCCGCTAAAATAACGTCTGAAGTAGTATATATATATATATATATATATATATATATATATATATATATATATATAACAAATATTCGTACACATACAAATTCTTAACTTATTGTATTTACAACTAATAAATAAGCATACTTTTCATATAGCTAACTGTGCACACATGCATAATAAATGAAGATGAATGGAAGAGAAAAAAAAACTTTGAATTAATAGAAATAGACCCCATTTATCTATTTTAAAGGGTGAAAAAATATTCGTACAATACAATAAAAGAGTATATAATGTTCATTTAATACTTTGTAGAATACCCAATATTCACTTCTGCAGCAACAAACCTCTCCTTGTAGTTCTCAATTGATGCTTTGCAAATTTTAGTTGGTATTTTGTTCCATTCTTTGCATATGGTCTTTGGATCCAGGATTTTTGTTGGAGCTCTCTACTGGATTTGAATTTTCAAATAACGTCATAGATTCTTGATTGGGTTTAAACCTGGGGACTTTTAAATCTGGCATTTTCAGGATATTTACATTATTTTTAGTAAGCCATTGCTTCGGAGATTTTGCAGTGTGTCTAGGGTCCTTGTTTTGTTGGAAGATCCAATCAGGAGGAAGTTCAAGATTTTAAATTATGCCAGTACCTTTTGCAGGAAAACCTCCGCAAACCATGATGCTGCCACCACCAAATTTCACTGTTGGAACTGTGTTCATTTCTTGAAGGCATCGCCATCTTTTCTCCATAGATGATTTCTAAAATTACGTCCTAACAACTCAATTTTAGTTTGGTCTATCCATGATACTCTTTCCCAATACGATTTTTCCTTATCCTTATGTTCAAGAACGCATTGCAACTTGGTATCTCTGTGTATTTTCAATAAAAGTGGCGTTTACTGAGGGGAGCATAACTCTAGATTGTTCCTATGAATTTTATTTCTTATTATTCATTTGGTGACATAGATTAATGATGAAATCAAATCATCCTGCAACTCTTGACGAGTGACCATTCGACTTTGTTTAATTTGACGCATTAATTTCCTCGAAGATCTGAATAAATCTTCCGTGAAGCACGTTTCCTCCTTTTCAACAATTTTGAGTCTTTATACCTTGCAATGAATGAACTAATGGCAGTAAATTCTTTAGTTCTTGCTATGATGATAACCTTCTTGCACGAATATCAGTTACAGAATGTTCTGCTTGTATTTTTAGGTTAAAAATAACTATTGATAACATTAATGGAACATTCTACAATATTTCCCTTGAAAAATCAAAAGCAAATTAAAAGTTTTAAAATTGAAATTTGCATTGTACGAATACTTTTTTCAACCATTAAAATGGATAAATGGGATTTATTTCTATTAAATCAATTTTTTTTTGTTTTCTATGCATGTCATCAGTTCCCAAGCAGACGTCATTACTCAATAGTAAATCCGGCATCGCTGACAAAACCAATCTAGCCGTAGATCTCGAAAATGACCTCCAATCTGTGGCTGAATTGGGGCAGGAAATGGCTTGTAAACTTTATTGCCTCTAAAACGAAACTGCTCTCATGTACCATCCTTGCATCCCATCAGAATGGCTGATGCCCAACTCCACGAGTGCAACTCTCTAAGCCACCTTGATCTCACGCTGTCCACTGATCTGAAGTGAAACAAATACATTGAATCTATAGCTTCATCTATCGCAAGGAAAGTTGGTTCTCTGGCGTCAATTCCATATGAAATGTTGGTGCTATTAACATCTATCTATCTATCTATCTATCTATCTATCTATCTATCTATCTTATTCTGTTCAAATGTCTCTATCTTAGTCTGTTTAAATCTATCTATCTATCTATCTATCTATCTATCTATCTATCTATCTATCTATCTATCTATCTTATTCTGTTCAAATGTCTCTATCTTAGTCTGTTTAAATCTATCTATCTATCTATCTATCTATCTATCTATCTATCTATCTATCTATCTTATTCTGTTCAAATGTCTCTATCTTAGTCTGTTTAAATCTATCTATCTATCTATCTATTTTATTCTGTTCAAATCTCTCTATCTTAATCTTGTTAACTCTATATCTATCTATCTATCTATCTATCTATCTATCTATCTATCTATCTATCTATCTATCTGTCTGCATTATGAGAGACAAACTTGCGCAGATATTGAGTTAAAAGCCTTAATAGTGAGAGATGACGGATTAGTGAGGTTTATAAAAAGTAATGTACATATAGATTTCTGTTTAGAAAAAATATATTTTCGTCAAAGTAGAATTCTCTTTCCACCTGCAAAACAATTCTGTACTGGTTTTAAATGATGGAACTTTATGCAACGCATCTTTTTATTCTGCCTATGCATGGAATATAGCATTTGTTTCCCGCCTGCATATTCAATGATTTTCCCCCGTCCTTTTCGTTTCCTTTCATTTACTGATACAATCTTTGACTCTTGGTACTTTTGAACGTTGCATTTTTACGCTGTACCTTTCCTCCAAACATTCGCAAATTCCTCCAGGCTTTCTTTGTCACTTGCTCATTTCGAATCAATCAGGTTGCACGCTTCTTGTCTTGTAGAAATATTTTGTCTTTCAATTTTATTCTCAGTCACAAAAGTTTTCTTTGATTTTTTTTTGTTTTTAATCATTTCTTTGCCTTCACATGAACATGCATTCCATTATTTACTGATCCTTTAAAAGAAAAATTAAACTCTGGTTTTTATTCTTTATATATCTGTATTCTTTTAAAATGTATTTTAATGTATTAAAATGTATTCTGTACTCTTTTTATTCTTAAACTTTACTTGTTTTCTTTTCTTGACATTTCTTCTTTGAATTATTCTTGAAGCACTAGTTTCTTCCTTTATTTGTTTTTTTATTAAGTATAACTCAGCTATCATTATTAAACTTTTTTCTTATATTTTCAAATAATAACCGCTTAAATTTTGTTATCTTTTTTCCCATTCTTGATTTCCGACGCCATCTTACTTTTTTTCATTGTAATAGACCAACATGTTTTTTTCTTTCTATGATATTAATTTCGAGATTTTACCTTTTTCAGTCATTACTGAAAGTATTCAATATTTCACTTGCTTTTTATTTATTTCAACTTTAAAGAAATTTATGTTTATTCTACTGTTTCCGGCTTTCGTTCTTTTCTTTTTTTTTCTGTCTTTTTTAATTTATTACCTCCTTTTTCATGCTTCTTCTTCTTCTTCCTTTTGCTTTTCTTTCTTTCTTTCTTTCTTTCTTTCTTTCTTTCTTTCTTTCTTTCTTTCCGCTTTACATTTCTATCAGCTTGAATGGGCTTAAAATAGTCGTTTTTCGTATTTTCCTTTGTTTATAAATATAGAACAGAAATATCAAAACACCATATGGACTTTATCAAGACGCTAGTTCATTTATTTTCAAGCCTTTTTCAAATTTACTTTCTTCCTTTCTGTGTCTATATTTCAGTTTCTACGCGCTATTATTTCCCTATTTTCCCTCGACTTTTGTTCAATTTTGTCATCTTTAAATATATTTTTTTTTAAGCTGGTTGTCTGTTTCTCTTTCTTTTTGTTAATTCGTTCTTTCATTCAATTTTAATTTCTTTTCATAATTTCACTTCATTTTATTTTATATATAATCGTTTTTCTTTCCCTTTTTGGGGTCCTCAATTTTTTTCTTTCTTTGCCTTTTTTCTTTATTTTCTTTTCTTTACTATCTATCTATCTATCTATCTATCTATCTATCTATCTATCTATCTATCTATCTAATTTCTTTATTTCTTTCTTTCCGTCTTTTCCATGCATTAACTGTACTTTCTTTACTTTGTACATTTTCTTTCTTTCTTTCTTTCTTTCTTTCTTTTTTTCTTTCTTTCTTTGCCGCTTCTCTTTATTACTTTACTATCTATCTATCTATCTATCTATCTATCTATCTATCTATCTATCTATCTAATTTCTTTATTTCTTTCTTTCCTTCTTTTCCATGCCTTCTTCTTTCTCTCTGTATTAACTGTACTTTCTTTACTTTGTACATTTTCTTTCTTTCATTCTTTCTTTACTGTACTCTACTGTACTTTTCTTTCTTTGTCTTCCTTTGCAAATGTTTCTTTCTTTAGTTTTTCCTCCCTTTCTTTTTCTTTCTTTCTTTTTCTTTCTTTCTTTTTCTTTCTTTCTTTCTTTCTTTTACCTTGCAAATTTTCCTTCCTCCATTAATCTCTCCCTCCCTGCCTTAATTAATTCCTTCCCTCATTGCTTGCTTCCTCCTTCCGTCATTCTTTCTTTTCCATGACTTTTCTTTCTTTCTTTCTTTCTTTCTTTCTTTCTTTCTTTCTTTCTTTCTTTCTATAATTTTTCATCTGCGGCTATTAATTCCCGACCATCTCTTATCTCCTCCTGTGTTCTTTTTTTTACCGTCAGCCCCACCTCCCCATTTCTAATTGTTTATCTTTCCTGCCCATTCGCTGTTTTTTTTTCTGGATGTGGATCAAAGCCAGTACGATATTTTAATCGATGCTCGTGATAAACGATTACAAAAGTTAGATAAGCACATGTCCATCAATTTATTATCTCGCTTTGCTTTAAAAAGTTTTCACTCTTACTTGCCTGTTTTTTTTTTCCGACAGTCGCCTTTTCGGACAAAGCCTATTAAATGGACATTAGTTACGAACTTACTGTAGATATCTCCATCCGTTTTGGATAATTCTCTTACTAAAGGTTTCTTATTTTGTATTTGCTTCTTTTTTTTTTCAATTTATCCTTCGCTATCATACATGTTTTTAAACGCTCATCTTTTTATAAATGTCCGTATGATCATTCACTTACCAAAGTCTGACACAAGGCCAGAATCGTAGAGCACTTATATAGATTTGACATACGAGATAAGCAAATTGCTCAGCAAAAACCTACAGTTATTACTTTTTTATTTAATCAATTCTCCCCAAAGTAAGGCGATAATGCCACTAAGAGGCAAGTGGCTAATGGGGGTGAAAGAGAATGATGTTCTGATTTGAATCATTGGGTAGTTTCAGGTCTTTCAAACATCATACTCCCCTCACCAAGTCGACCTCATCGGAGCTGAATGTCTTACTAATTAACCCATAGCTGGGGGATAATATGCGGTTTCTACCTTTCCTAAAGGAGTAATCGAATATAATGAATCCAAGGGGAACTGGAGCTCGCCACTCCTATTAAGAATTCCGAGCCATTATCCATTACACCACCCGCACATCAAAACTTACAGCAGCTGGTACTCTCAAGCGTTCAACTGTCACTGACCAGGCTCATCGTTGCTTAATTTTGATAATCGTACGGGAACCGGGGTTTCAACTTGGTATGGTATTAAGTGATAAAGCGAAAAGACAATATTTACTAAGAGCTACAAAGGACAGGAAATTGTGGAGAGTCATGATCGCCCTAGTTCTGAAGGGGTGTAGCCTATAGAAGAGGATGAACACAAAAGGTTCTTTCTAGATATGATGCACTTTTAGATTTGAGTCACACTATGTTTATTATAGCACAGTAAAAAAAGTTTAGAGGTTACAGCATTAATACCTGTTCAACGACGAAGTAGGCAACTCGTGAAATTGTATTAGGTCATCTTGTTCTTGCATGATCCAAATTTACTTGTTTATTGTACCCAGTGAACTTCGTTTTTATTCTTTTCACCAATCAGTAAATACACATGAAACAAACGATTACGTAAAAGAAAATGGAGAAAAAATAGAAGAAGAAAAAAAATGATTGTTGATTATTTCACAGCGGTAATGGTGATGATGGTAGTAGAGTAAGAAAGACACTGTTTATTGCAGGCAGGAATAGTGATGCTGATATTAGACGATGATAGTCGCAATGTTAGTTATACTACTTCTATAGAATAACGGTAAAAGAAATGAGATGTGGAGGAAGAAAATGCAGCTGAAGAAGTTAAGGCATGAAGTTACTGCTTATAACTCTGCGCACGCGTCGTGCCTTGCGACTTCCGGTCGCGCAGCCAAACGTGATTCAGTGAACGGATGTCAGACGAAAGAAAGCTGCTTTACGTGTCACGACACGAAAACCAGTTTTCTTTTTCTCCTTTCTTTTTATTTATCTCTAGATTTGTTTTTGGTCTTTTTCTTATTCGACACCACAGTCTTTGAGCATTTTCCCACCTTCTTTCTTTCAGTCAATTTAGTCTGATTTGTTTGTTCCTTTCAATAAGTTTCGTTATATTCAATAGTTTTTTTTTTCTAAACTTTCTTTCGTTCTTATTCAAATTTCCTTTAGTTTACGTATTTATTTATTCTTAATTCTTTCCTTTTATTTCAATTTATTTCATTCTTTCTGTCTTAACTCATTTTCTCTTTTCATATTTATATGTTTTATAATTCATTATCGTATGAGCTGCATTGCCACAGCATACTTTTTCTTGTAATAATAATGCAACAGTTATATTAGACAAATGCGATAAGCCGATCCAGTCTGTTAATAAATACAGTATTAATTCTTGATCCAATTTTCCTAACATTTAACAGACAGCGTACAGCTTGAAAATTGCTCAAATAAGTTTTAAAATTCCGTATTTATCCTATCAGTTATGTACCATGCGTGACACAACGCTTAGGTGATCATGTATCTGGCTGACGAGATAGATTTTTTTTTCCTGCAGTAGGTTGCCATTTCTTTCTGCGGTAGACCAGTTGGCATCCAAGTCTATAGAATCCGGTCTGTCCTGCTATTTACTCATAGCTGGGTCGGGGGAGAAGAAGAGGATTCATACATTTCACAAGTGTATTAGCACGTAAGTGAATGTAATGGATTCGACTGGAATTCGAACTCGGCTCTCCGATTCCTCAAACCGAGCCGCTATCTATTACTCCACCGTATATTTTACCTTAACTAACTCAAAAGTTCCTTAGAGAGAACATAATTAAAGCTTCTTAGAATATGGTAGAAAAGTTGTTAAAGCAGTAGCAACAATAAGTAAAAATGAAACCTAATACACTGACTTCGCACTACTTAAGTTTACTGGTAAAAAAGAACAAAAAAAAAACATGGAAAATAAATTTTGAAAGGAAATATTTTTTGTAGATTTGCATACATTAGACCTTCCTTTATCTACGATATTTTCGTCATTTTAGAAATGGGGACCTGTTCTTAATAAAGAAATACGGTGTTAGATCTGTGAATTAAATTTAAGTTTTACTTGCAAACGTCAAGTTTGTCAATGTGCTTACGTCATCGATAACGGTGTACAAATGATGAAAACTAAAACTACGCAGTTATTAATGACGCAGGCATTTCCAAATTTGACCTTTCTAGATGAAACCAAATTACGGATAACTCCAGAGATCGATTCTACACTGTATTTATATTATGAACAGGCTTCTTCCTTCTGAAATAATTAAAAATCAATTTTTCGTTTCGAGTATGATGAATGTGGTTTGTGGAATCTCCATTGACTCTTACTCGGCAAAAACGATCTCGATTTGCACCCCTCCATTTGCCCCCGATTTTCCCCCTCCCATTTTTACGAGTAGGCCATATAACTTAAGCACGAGGGTAAGAAAAAAAATTATCCGCATTTTCGCCTTAACATATCTTTAGGTTTATCAAACGGCCTTCTTCTCATGGGGGATTGTAGTTGATCACGTGATCAAAGTTTGCGCTTGACCGTGTGCACTCAAGGAAGAACAAGGAGCGATGATGCGATTTCTCTGGTCGGAAAGTGTGTGTCAGGGGCTAGATTCATCGCAGGCTTTTAACACAATGCGGCGTAGAAGCCGTATGAGTAAACCGGAAAGTTTAAAAGTCTCCGGACAAGCGTGACGCACGAAAAAAAGAGTAACACACCCGTCAACCCCTTACAAATGGCGAGAAGATTCGGCAAGCTCGAGACATGTTAATGGCGAATTATCGTCGATGAATAGCATTTTCTCTGTAGATGGGGATCGCCACTCTTTGTTTCGCCTCGGTGCACACTGCTAGCGCAACGGCCATGTTTACACTGTAACAGCAGCAAGAAAACTGACGCGATCAAGCTCAAACTTTGATCACGTGACCAGAATAATACCAACTATAAGCATGCGTTTAACAAATTTAAAGACGGGTTATGCCGAAAGTACGAATAATTTTTAACTTATCTTCGTAGTACCCCGACTTTAACTGCAATCAAAATACAATTATAATTATTTTTATTACATTTCCTAACTACTCTCAGAAATGATTGTATATGTTGAGATACGTCATGCCATATTTTATTATGCAAGATTATGTTTACACTAAATTTGGTATTAACAAAGCAATTGCAGTTAAATTATATTCATATTTACAAGATAAACATAC